AGCTTGTTAGGTTGGGTTTTAGACTATATAAAGTTTTTTTTTTTTTTTTTGTTGAGGCCATGGAGTTCAGGGGAGAACTGCCCTCAATATATTTACTGAAATCTCCTAGTCAGAAAACCGTATATGAAGGATGTTTCCATAAAATCTGAAAATGAGAGAGAGAAAAAAAACTTTGAGCTGCAAGATCTACAGAAATCTGGTCAGAAGTCTGTACATTGAATATGCGCATGAATGTAATTTTTACTTTGAGCTTTCTCTATCACCACTCTTCTACCAACATGCAATGATCATTTAAAAACAAGGTTAAAAAAAAATTAAAACTCAATAAGTGAGCACAAATGTTTGAATGAATTGTTGTTTTTTTTTCTTTATGAACACAGAAAAGTCTCTTACAGAGAAACCATGTTTTATCTGCTGTCATTCACAAGATCCTGGCATATATAATAATAATAATAATAATAATAATAATAATAATAATAATAATAATAATAATAATAATAATAATAATAATAATAATAATAATGGTGATTTGACCATTACTTCTTAGCAAAAATGAAAAACTCATTTTATTTTAACTTTAAGTTATCAATTTTGGAGCAGCTTCCAATTTACAAAAAGGCAATGTTGGGGGTTCCAGCAATGCTCTTTGGCACACTGACTTAATTTATTAAATTTCAAGGCGATGGTTTGGTTCAGGTGGCTCAAACTTTGACACAGTTTGATGCTCAATAACATTGATGTTGCATAGATCTGCTTTTAGTTACGGATTTGTGTGCATCTCAGCAGGTGAAAATAATCCAGTCTAATCAGCAGCACTGCAAACTCAAGCAATATAAGCAGGCATTTGGCTGGTTTTGGAACAGAGCAAAAGAAAGCAGACACAGTCACCAAATAAATATTTCAAAATCAAACTGATCAAACTTATGAGAGAATGCCTTAGATGAAAGAAAAAAGATAAAATGAGAGAAATGAGAGGGTCTCTATTCATGTTATGTCGCACATTTAACGTGTTGATAGGTTTAATCCCTACAACTGCCGACATCGTTAGTGAGAAATAAGCACCTCAAAGTTAACACAGAAACACACACTGGTCCTTTCACTATGAATTCTTGGCTTAAAAAAGTTGGTCTTGTTTCAGTTTGCTCCTGACGTTTGGCCAGATGTTTTAAATCAGAAGCGTAACGGAGTGTGACCCTTCATGCAACAATGCTCAACAATCAGTGAGACCAAGAACACAATCAAACGTGTTTTGGAATGGATAAAAATAGGGTCGAATTGAGCTTCTGGAACAGCTCCACACTTAACTTATTGAAAATCTGTTGACCGTCTTTAAAGTTTCTGCCTTCCCAAGGGAAACAGCTAATTTAAATTAACGTCAGCAATTCTACCACAAGGGGTGGTCAAATGTTAAGCTAGAAGATTTATGATGGCTTCCATGTTGAGGTGACTAAAGTTAAAAAGGGGCATTTAAGCAACTATTTGTAGAGCTGTATGTATATATCTTAGTCTATATGAATATTTCTGAACGTATGTGACAAATAATTCTCCATTTATCACTACTAATGATTATAATAATGAATTCAATCTCATAAAGGGGAGCTATTATAAAAAATTCACATTTTGCAAATTTATGTTCTTCAATTTGCATCTCATCAGCTTCTTAAAAAAGTCCAAGCATTCAGAACAACACCAGCCATTTTGGAAACAAGGCAATGTTTTTTTGGCGTCTGGAAAATGAGCCATTTCAAAAGCCTTCACATTCAACAGGCATTGAGGCATTATCTAGCAACCCCAGCAAAGTCCAGCTTGTTACCTGGCTTCCCAAGTTGAGTTCCAGCACATTTGGTCAGGTGGTTTTGTCTCTGTGTGCTGTACAATAGAAAAGACAAGTGATTGTCTTCTCTAACAAGTGATTGTTCTTAAAACAACAATCACTCAATGAGCAGGAGCATAATGAGCATTTTTGCTCATTGTGCAGAAGACTCTACTTCTGCTTTTCAAGTACGTATAATTGTATGCTCTCGCATTAGTTTGCATCCATTTTCATGTATGAATGTAAGCACAAATTGGGGATCATGGCCAGCAGCAGCTTAATTGGATTTAAAGTGATGAGAGGCTCTAAAACAGATCATTCTGAAAGATTAAATAAGCAAACTTGAACAGACTAAAATCTCATTATCTAAGAATACTTTTGTGCAAAAAGCATGTATCAACATGTTTTGTATAGTTCATAGTCCTATTTCAAACTGTTAATAGCTCAATCACACCCACTTAATGCATAATTTTACTCTGCTCTTATGATATCAAACAGCCAATCATGAAAGATGTCATAAAGATTGACAAGCTTAACAAATGAAAAAGCAAATGTAAACGTTTACCCATGACTTTTACTTTTAAACTGGTTCTTCAGAGTTTTCACTTGTGTCTTTGTTTGATGTATGAGGGATTGGGTCCCACTGGATTTCATAAGCTACACACAGAAGGATTTGCGTAAAGCCGTCACCCATTGAGGCAGTCGCTAAGGTGGAGGAATCTCATAATTAAAGCCTAATTAGAGCCATGCAGCCCAACTATGTTGGTTTACGGGGCAGACAGGAACCTCAAAGATTCACAATGGGGCCTTTCATAATACTTCACTTCTCTAAGGGAAAAAAGGGGCAAAAGCAGTCGCTCTTAGCATTCAGGCAGATGTAATTGCAATCACTCAGCTTGTCTGATACTGATAATAGGGCAATGGGAAATTCCTGTCAGAGTCAGAGGCGCAGGGTGGGTTTCGCAACCGCTTTGGCAGGCTCCACGTTCCACTGCAGGGCAGTGAATGCGTTACAGCATGCACACATAGCTGTCATCAAACACATTTAGGGAAAAAAAACTTAAGACAATCAAAACACACAAGTGTGTGTCACTTTCTTACTCCTGGAGCAGTGAAAAGGCAAATATTATATCATCTATCATCCCCGCTCAGTTAAAGATGTTGAAAGATTCAGCTTATGAAAAAATGTAAAGTGGCTACGCTTTGACAATCCTGCTCCAATAACACACTGTAGATTTTAAATATGTACTTTAGCATCTATATATGTTCATGTCACTTTTTTTTTTTTTTTTTACTGCTTGGTTATGTGGAAAATAAGCAGTGAAAAATAAGGCTATAGTTTAAGTGGCGCCTTAAAAACATTGGTTAGTCGGCTTATAATGAAAAATAATGTTATGTTTTCTTTACAAATTATGGCTGGACCGTTTAGCAAGCAGCCCATTCCTGCCAGACAAATGCTCTACAGTAGGTGGCTGAAATAGCACGTGGGTGTGACGTTTTTGTGGTCGGACCTCTGGTACAGTCTGTGACACTTGGCATCTGAGCAATGCCTTCCAAAGAAGCCGGTAGAGGCATTCATGCAATGATGCTAACAGCTTATTTTACTGGCTGTACTAATGATCAAACCATAGAGTCCAAACATTGTAGTGCTTTCTGAGACCACCCATGGAGCTCTGAACCAATATTAGTAGCTATTAGCAACCACAAGAACAGCGATACAGGCCGAGGTTGCAATGTGGCCTGGGGGACAGCAGCTATCCACTTTTAATTTAATTAGTGTAACATTTCATTCAGATATCAAGCAGAGGGATTTGTTATCTTTGATCAGTATGTCCAGTTTGTTATCTGTAATTTTTACGTGTAAGCAAATAGTCTCTTGTCGAATACAACCAAAATATGTTGGGACATCAACATCTATATCATGGTGTCATTAAACAACACTCTCTGTCTCTCAAAGATTAGGCTGGTGAACTGAAAAAATGTACTCAGCAGACAAGAACAGGGATAAAAATATAATTTAGTTCAGAATTCATTTGGTGTTTTGCATACTTTAAATTACAGAGAACACATTAATTGTGTATTTGCTATGGTTAAGTGGTAGTTTTCTGCTGTAAAGTGAGAATGTGGTCAGGGAAACCAAGAGATTATGCAGTCTGAATCATTACAGATCATTAGGGGATCCAATCTTCAATTTTACCTGATCTGCTCTCTGCAGCGTTGTTAATCTTGTCAGCGTTGTCAGAAGCTGACTCTTCTTCGTTGGTGATCAGTTGTAGCACAAGAAGTTAAGTACGGACTATCGTCCTCCCTGGGCTTTAATTTGCAAAAACAGTCATCATGCAGAGATTTTGGTGGTAGCTTTTAAGTTTTGGAGAAGAGAGGGATTTCAAGAAAAAAACATTCAAATCTAGCTAAAATCTTGTTGAAGATCATGGTAGTCTGATGAAATGAAAGTTTAACTTTTAAGCTACAATTCAAAAATACCTGATTGGCACTAAACATGAAACACTATTCATCTTCAAAAATATCTTGTTTGCGTTACAATAAAACATGGTGGTGGCAGCAACATACTCTGTGCTGTCTTTCATTTGATGGATGAAATTAATAATGGCTGAAATAAAAGTTAGTTTTGACTCAAAACCTTCAGATATCTTCTTGAAATCTGGAGAGATGGAGAGAGTTTTTATTTTTCATCTTAACTCTAAATACAAGTATTTAGCCAAATAAATAAATAAGATGCATTCCCAAAAAATGTTGAGAATGTATTTCACATAAAAGGTGGACAAAGTTTTACAAAGTTTACAAAACCGTATTTTAACAGGTTTTTGTATAACTTCTAAAAATACATATTCTGACAATTGTAATTGATTAAAAAAGGAACTTGTTTTATGTGTTAATTACAGGCTCTGTATTTAATTGTTATTGGGCTCTACTGCTGCTGTAATTTTCCTCAGGCTTTTGCTGACTCGACAGAATGGTAATTTTATTGAATTCCTGCAGCTTGTAAAAAGAGTCTCAAGGGAATATGTTGACTTTCTGAACAGAAATTCAGCCTAAATTAAACAAATACACAGGGTACATTTTCTATTTTGTCAGCACAAAAGTGATAGTGTGATTAAGCTTTATAAATCAAGATTTTATCATTATTGACTTCTTTTTACAAATGACAACAAATATCAGAAAAATAGTAGATGAATGAGAGCAGCTTTATTGGCAATTTGGGTGTTTTATGACACAGTATATGTGAGCAAAGGAAACAACTGAGATTCAAGAGAATTTAAAGGTTGAATATAAAATGATGGTTTAATGAATATTATCAGCAACTGATGTTGATAACATTTTTTTTGCTGCTTTTTTATTGTAAATAATTAGTAGCACACATTTTTGTTGCACAAAAACATAAAACAATAACCAACAAACACTGCTTTTTGATATCAAAGGATTTCAGTTGAAATTTTTACTGATTGGTCTTCAAAATTTCAGTTTTGCTCCAAGTTATTGGCATTTTATCAAAAATTATGGGGACATTGCCATGATAGTACATCTACGGTACATGGCAAGGAAGGACAAAAATCAACCAAGGCTTCTCATTCTAAAAACTGGACAATGGACATTTACAATGCAAGTTTGAATGGAGGCCAAGGCAGAAAAAAAGCTGGAAACAACAACAAAGTTATTTTTTAATCTTTGGAATGAAAGCAAATTACCCCAAAATCCCACATAAAAACACCACCACCGTCTCCTTCGCTTTTGTTGAAATAGCTGGTCTGCTACACACCCAGCTGAATTTGATGAGTGCATTCGTAATCTTCTCCATGGCCTTTTTCATAGGAATACCAATGCATGTAACCGTAGCAACACACTATTGGAGAAAGTATTATTACCCACCAGATTATTTTGGTAATTCCTTTGTTATCCTTTGTCTCTATTTTGGATTATTACTGGTAAATCATCTCACCTCATGTAATTGTGTCTTATTCAAAGTGTTCACAGCAGCCCATAGACCTGTTTCATATATATATTAAAAGAAAAATGTGACACCATTTCAGTAGCAGTGTCTAGTTATTGCTGTTCTGTGTGTCCCCTGGAGAGGAGGACAGGAAGTGTGGTGATGTACAATTGGAACCATAATGAATTTTGTGTACACAGCAGCCATATTGGATTTTCATAATTGGTATGAAACCAATAACCCAATTGATTATTCTGACATGGAACTCAGAAATTTTGACTTCCAGATAAAAGTGGAAAGCACAATTTTGCTAAAATAATTGTCCTGTAAGAGTTTATTATATTATGCGTTTCCTGATGTTTTGGGCTTTTTCTGCATGAACTAGGAGACTTGTAGATATTAATCTGACCATGAACTCCTCTCTATGCCAAAATATTTTGCAGCCAAATGTAAAACCATCTGTCTGACACATTAACATGAAAATGCTCTCAAACACAACTACAGAAGACCTGAAAAAGAAAGTGATCAAGACATCAAAACTGCAGAGCCTTGAGAGATAAATGATTTCCCACAAAACTCAACAGACTGAAGAAATGCTAAAAAGCAGAGTGGACAAAGTGGCAATACATGAAAAAGACTGAATTATTGCTGCTACTAGCTTTTCAATTACAGGAAATATGGGGTTCTGCAAGCTATTGAATTATATGGGTGTACTTAGTTTTTCTCATGTCTGTATGATGCCAAATTATGAGGCCTATCCAGCATCAATCATCCAGTGTACTCACAGAGTCTATGCACGATATAATATACATATATTTATATAAAATTGTGAATTTAAATCCAAAAACATATACCATCTCACAAGCGTGTAAATGACAAATACTGTAGACAAAACAATTACATATCAATATATATTAAACAGATGACTGTGATAGTTCATGTTCTTTAGCTTTTCCACCAACAACAGTGAACAAGAATAATGTTTGGTTTACTGCAAAGGTCTTAAAAAAGCCTTAAGAATATACTGATGCAAACATAATCTCCATTTCATGTTCAGGTTATGTCATACGTGAGGCAGCATGCATCCAGGTTCCCCATGGAAGTGGCAGTGCATTGTGAAAAACAAGCTCAGCCTTGAAGTTCTTCACAGTGTCCTTTCACCATCTGATGGGCAGTAAAGTCAATATTAGCCATTCATCTCTCCTTCAAAAGTCCCTTGTGGTTTTTGTCTTGTGTCATGGTTTTAAGAGGCAGTTCATTCAAAGATACAAAGAACCATAAGACACCAGTGGATGGCTTGGGGATGCCCTTTTCCAGTGTGAGGCTATTCACCAAGCAGTATGCCCATGAAATCCGAACCGCTTTGTATTGTAATGGAAGCACCAGCTGCGTTATCCACATATATGGAAGTGTATTGGCCAACCTGCAAAGAAACGCATAAAAACTGGCGTTAATGAAAGCCTGAGCTGTTTTTATTATGTGCTTGTTTGGCTTTTCTCTCACCTGTAGCTCCAGCAGACCCTGAACATTCACAGTGAATATCTTGCTGTTGCTTTCTAATCCAACGATCATTTCAAGTGAACTGTGACGAAAATATCAAGAAGAAAACAATTTAAATATATCACAGTTTTAATGCTGAAGGTACATTTTTATTTATACTATTAGTGTAGTTTCAAAAGGTGCTAAAGTTGAACAAATCACTCTATCTACTGTACGTTTAAAATGCGGTCATATACTGGAAAATGCTATTTGAAATATGACCCAACATTAAGTGCCTTATAAGTGCTCCTGTAACTGAATTACAGTTACCTTCAGAGTACCCGATCAATACACTTTAATCCCAGAAGTCCCAAGCTATGTACTTTATAATCAAACTTTAATTAAGTTACCATTTACCAAGAACTCAAATGTACTCCTAAGAACCTCATATTTGTTTGCATTTCGTGAAGAAGGATGTTTGCTCAGTGTCTTTCTTAGAGGTTTTTGTGTCATTTCCTGCAGGGGTTCTTGTTGCACCACCACAACAGGTGAGGGGGGGGGTGAACAGGTTTTTCACTTGGTTTGGATTGTTTGATGCAGGGCAGTGAGAGAAGTGAGTTGGTGTATTTGGCTGTTGTGTGAATTTTTTCTTCTCTAGGCAAAAGGTCGTCTATTTTTTGCAGGCTTAAATGGACAGAAATTCATGTGACAGAGATTCCCAAACAGGGAATAACTTTGTGTTTATATAATTTCCAAAAGTCTGGTCTCCCCTGTCTGTTGATCATCACTATAATAACTATTCTGATATATCTTCCCATTGGATGAAGGGTTCCAAAATATCCACTTTCTGTGACCTTACAGTCTGTTTGTATTATCAGCAGAACATAACATAACAAAAGTTGATTTGTTAATCTTCTCTTGGCTTCTTCAAAGAGATCTACAGCATGTAAAAAAATGAACCTAAATGCAAGTTACCTAGCTGCTGTCACATGCATAAAAATGCAGATTTAAGTATAAGCTTCTAAGCAAGAAATCAAATAAGCCAGTTTCCTAGTTTGGCTTTGTCCTGCGTAGATGGTTGAAACTAATTCTCCATCTTTGACCGCACAGTGAAGGAACTGGCTTGTGTTAAGTGGAAAATGTGAAATTTTTATTGCAAATCAATCTTATTTGACTTTGCTCCAGCTGCCATCCCAGTGAACCTCATTTCACATTCTCCTCATTTTCATGTGTGGGAGCCGGAGACAGACTGGGGTTTTGGCTCAAAAAGCAAAAGTTAAGTACTCTTTTGGGTTAAGCAACCCTTCATAATAGTATTATTTATATTTTTCTCTTATTGTACCACACTAGAAGAGTGGATGTAGAGAGAGATTGGGGAGTAAATCATTTCAACCTTTTTCTCTGACTTTGTGTAAACAGACATTTTGAAATACATGAAAGAACAAAGACTTGCTCTGCTTTTTTCTTCCACTCCAGCCAGCAGTATTTTGTTCTTCATTATCTGACTCCCAAATCCCAAATAAGGGCATTTCACTATGAGAGCTGTTGTATGTAACAGGCTCCCTAAAAGTGTCAAAGGTGAGTCTATAAAGATTAGTTTGGCGACAGGGACGACGTTTCTAAATGAGGGGACATTTCCCTTAAAGACATGCGCTGCTTTTATGCAGGAAATGCCACACTGGTCCCATGCAAAGTGTAACAGACCACACCTTTAACAGCTCATAAATTCCAGTGAAAGTTGAGGCAGCATTAAACTCTGTTTAAATTTCACCATTTTAAGGCAAAGGTAAACAAACTGTCTGAGCAAGAATGTTAAGCATGCAAAGTGCAATTGTTCTACCAGTTTTGTTCGAATTAATTATGAACTTTTGGGTTTTACTTACCGTCAAATACCAAATGGAAAAAAAAAATACAATTCCCTTGCCATTGCAAATTTGATTTAGATTCACATGTGAGTCAAATTAGTCTTCATAGCATTTAAATGCTTTCCAGGACACCTACGTGTATCTGTGGCAGAGTGATTCGATGCAGATCAACACACGGACGTTGTCTCTGGCTTTAAGCTGACTTTTGCTCCTCTTCACCTCATTGTGATCTGCAAATGTGCAAACAGTTACCATCATACAATCACAGAGGCTTATTTACACAGATTTTCTTTTAAAACTCCCAACATCTCCTCTGCATATACTGGCTCACCTGATCCAGACGTGTGAAATCCTTGTATTTTAAATAAATTACCAAAATATTTGAAATAACAACTATACTATAAATGCTATATCATATATGACAAATATTAGCAAACCTCCATCAAAATTTTGAAAATTATAGTTTAACTTTTATTCACAGTGTAAAACGAGTTCCATGTAAGGAAATTAAATGTTTTTTTAACAAAACCACAAGTGTTACTTTCATCAGCACCCTACTGCTAAAATGTTGTGCAAACTCCTTTTTCATGGAATACAGATACATCTGAAAAAAAAATAGGATACCAAGAAAAAGTTCAATTTCAGAAAGTGAAGCTCATATATTGCATTATAAAGTGAAATATTTCGATCCTAATTTCTTGTAATTTTGATGACTTATGGCTTAGAGAGAATTCAGTGACTCATTAAATTTGATTATTGTGAAAAAATTAAATAAATATCGGAAACTCATGATGCCACACCCTAATTGGCCAACTAAGTGAAAACACCAGTGAAGGTTTTCTGAGTCTTTATATGATTTTTCAGTCTGGGTATGCAGGCTACACAGTCATGGGTAAAACTGCTGACTGAACAGATGTCCAGACTTTCACCCTCCACAGGGTAGGTCATGAAAAAGCTGGTTGTTCACGGACTACTATATCCGAGCATATTCATGGAAAGTTGAATGGAAGGAAAAGGTGCAGGATAACCACAGCTTTGAATTCCACATGCCAGTGCATCCATTTGTCAAAACGGTATCGAGTTATTTTTAACCTCACCGTTCATGTCGACATTTTGCCCCCGTCTCCAAAACAAGCATGTGTTGCACGCATGAGTCAGGGTTTGCGTTAGGGACCGCACATTTTCCAGTCACCTGTGTGTTTTATAGATCCCAAACTTTGAGTGGAAAGTGACGTATGCAAGTTTCAGGCTTTATAAATGAGGCCCCAGATCTTTATTTGAAATGTCTCAGTATTTCCAAGGCTTCCATAATTGTGATGCATAAGATTCCAGCAAGGTTCCCAGGGGTGGTGATAGACAAACAGGCCCACAGCATCACAAATACTACATCAGATTTGCATTTTAAATGTTCTGGCATTTTCACAGAGGTCCTCTTACACTTTAACTAGGCTCTCAGGCCCTTTGAAGGACATAGTATCACAGATTTTCATCTATGTGTGGATAACAGTGAGAAAGAGATACTTTGTCACATATTCATCCTTTTCTATAAGCCTGTTCCAATGTTCTTTCATTTGTGATGGGAGCTTTTACCTGGCATGCCTCCCAAATAAAATATTTTACCCTCAAGATTCATAAATCCTTACATTGTAACATTTATGATGCAGAAATAAATCTTAAAGCTTTTAAAACATCTTCACTTGGGATCCAAAACCAGTGCAAAGGCACTGGAGTTATAGTTCTCAGGATCTCATGTCACCTAAACTGCTTTTTACATCAGTTTGTAACAGATTCATATCAGCAATAAAAAGTAAAACAAGTGTATTTTCTCATATTTTTTTACCTCTGTATGTGAACAGGTAAACATAATCAGAATCAAAGCCGTTGCTTGGTTGTTCTAAGCATGTGTGGATAAGGATGAAGATGTTTTAACATTTTCAACAGAATCCACATAAGTGCAAGGGTGAGGTCAATGTAAACAACCGCTGTCTCCTTATAATTTGCTTGCAAGAGTCTGAACACGTATATGGGTGTATAGGGGGCTTTAAGGCTTTACTGTGTAATAAATTACATTAAGGAAAGTTACTGTGACTTACCGATGAGGACATTAGCAGAAAACTGGTATATCCCAGTGATTTGGGCTGTGAACCTCCCTGTTGACTGGTCCATTCCTTTTCCCCTGAGGAAAGCTCCTTTAGCAGGCGGCTGAAAGCAAAGAAAACAACTCAACTGATATCTGGATGATTTATTATACTGACACGCTGGTCCCTGTAGGACAACTGCCCCACTGGTGACTATTCTCTCTTTATGAATCCGGAAAGAAAATACAAACTGCTTGTTTAAATGTGTCAAAGCCGAGTCTATGAAGACTACTTTGGCAACAGGGATGAGGAATATGAATCATTTGCACTGCCTAAACACAGCAATTTAAAATACTGTTGCAAAAATATTTGAAAAGCAAGGAGAGCTTAATGAGTTGGACCGAGATTGGGATTCATGATACGACATGATCTTGACACCTTGATCCTATTGCTGAATAATCATTTTCGACTTGCCACCGAGCTTTGCAGGAACCTGGAAAGGCGTAGAGTTCTCACAGCAGAGGCGTGCACAGACATTTTGGGTTGCAAGTTCTCAAGTGTTAAACAATGGCACCTTGTGCGGCACTTGGAAGTGCTGGATGCCTTAGTGGTCTGAGATTTATTATAGTCCACACTGCACTGTGAAAAACAAACCAAAACTACAACAATTTCAGAAGGGCAGGATTTGTCCAGAGGAAGAAGTACAGGTTCTCTAGCACCACTTAGTTTCCATCTGTGGTTCTCCCTGCATCACAGCATCTAAGTGCTGCTAATGCTACATTATTCCTGCTTTTTTGCCGTTAACATCCTCATTTGAATTAGAGGAAGCAAGTAAAGCCTGAGTGGGGTTGGCAATTTGTTTTTTGACCAATTTTGGCCTAATTGTTTCAGGTTTCAGGAGCTCAACAATTTATGCCCACTTTCGTGACACTTCATCAGACTGAGAACATGACCTGGAACTGACTTCAGCAGATAACAGGTGAGCTGAAGAGATCATAAAGAAGTCACTTAGTTTTATCCATTTAATCATCCTGGACTTGGAAGAGTTGGCAGATTTAGAAATCTCAGGCTTAAGTCAATGGATTTGCAATCATAAGTAGTGCGGCATGCAAAGAATTGCTACTCTGCTTATGCTAACTGCTGTTAAAAGTTGCAAAAGGAAGCTTAAAATTTCAAAAAGATAGTGTTTCCACATGTCATGTCATGTTTGCGAAAAATCTCTTTTCGCTAAATTAGATTTTACCAAAGAGGATTAATTCTGACCCTGCACAATTTGATCAAATGCTTTATTTAAACTTTCTTCTTTTGACACTGCAAAACCCTGAACTATAAATGTCTAATGCTGTTAAAACATGTTGCCTTATTATTATATTAAACAGTCTGGCATGTAATCATCCCTCCTCCAGCCACAGTATGTCAGCCCGTCCTAACAGCCCATAGTTCTTCTGCATGCTTCTTCTAACAGTCTCTATTTCTGTCCTCTCCACACATTATTCCAAGTCGGAGACAGAGTCTCCTTTGTGTGCTGCCCAGGGAGTGATGTGTAGGATTGAAAAAGGGGATATTTTTGACCAAAAAGGCAGTCTGAGTCTCAGAATGGCACAACATGTGTTGCCAATGCCATTTACCAGAGAGGGGGGAGGTGGGGGCCGATCCTTTCAAAATTCTCCCACATCCAAAGTAAGCAACAATTACCAAACACTCACTCTTTCACAGCTAAGACAGAAAAACAAAGCAAATAACCGTTCAGAGGAGGATTAGACACAACTCTACTTTTTCAAGTAGGGGAGCAAAGCTCCACTGATTCATAAACATTTGCTTGGTTTTAAACAAACTCACTGTCTGAAAGTTCTGGAGCTCCACCAGCGTCTTCTTGTCCACCACCACAGGTCCCTTGAGCTTGCAGTGGAAAGCTTCTTGTATTCGGCGGTGGGAGGCCATTCCCTCCAGTGTCAGGAGGGCTGTAGGTTGCTGGCTGGGGCTTGTTTGCCTGTCAAGTGCCGCTGCCCTCCTTTCTGTAGCCTCTGAGAGGAATACAGCCTGGTTGTTAGTCACCTCACAGTAAAACTTTAACTTTTCTGTCATGATGTTCTGCTCTCTAAAAGCCCCCGCAGTTGGTTTTGGCCAATGAGTTCATGTGTTTTGGTATCTGGACAATGGGTAGTTTCAAAAACCTCTCAGTTGTTAAGTCACAATCCACATAGAACCATTTTTAGCAGCAATAACTTGAAATTGTCACCGATTATGTTCCTTTAATGACAGAGTTTCTAGGTGCAGCCAAGGTGTTGATGGTATCCATTTTGGTTTTTGCAAATATTGTTGTCCTACTGACTTCATTAGGATCAGTGCCTCCAAATCTGAGACCATGGTCTTGAGTCAAAAAATGGATTGGAGGAACTGCAAATAGAGGAGCTTAAGTGTCTTGGTGTCTTGGTCATAAATGGTAAATGGAGCAGGTGATGGATGGGTGGATTGGTGCTGCATCCGTTTTGATGTGGATGCTATACAAATCAGTCGATTTACTGGTTGATCAATGTTCCTACCCTTACCTGTGGTCACGAGCTTTAAGTAGATCATAAAAGAATGAGATTGAAGATAAAAGTCCAAACAGAGTTTTTTCCATAGAGGGTCTGCCTTAGAGAGGGAGATGCTATGCTTCTAGGCTGGCCTGGGATTCCTCCAGAGGAAATGTCTGACTGACATGGGAGGAACCAATTGTTTGAAAACAGACTTATAGCTTTGCACAGATTGATGTGTAGCAATAATTGTTTCTATTGGGCCATTGTAAGCACTGTTTACATCATGTACTACAATCCTAGTTAATAAAGGTGATCAGCGCCTGACAGCTACCTCCCCTCTTAAATCCTATGGATGCAGAGTTTTCTGTGTAGTGATGTGTTTACCTTTAATCATGTCTTTGAACTCCTGCAAAAGAACTTCCTGGGTCACTTCAGCCCCTGGAAAGCCAGGAGGTCCTTGAGGGCCCGGTGGACCTGGAGGACCCGGTGGTCCAGGCTTTCGGAAGAGAAAAACAGCCATGCTTTGAAATGAATGATTCGCTTATTGTTTTAGATAGATAATCAGTGACGGTAACATTTCTTTTGAGAGACTGAAAAGACAGTTTAGGTTTACCAGAGCTGGTCTGCGTTTGCGGCACTTTCTGGGGAGGTTTCCAACTGGTCGCTTGACAAAATCCATCCATGACCCTAGTGGATCCACCCGTTGGTGATCAGAAGTCTGCAGCAAGGAAGAGGACTGTCAGTGATTAAACCCATAGCTAGATTTACCCATACATTTTCTACAAATGCTTCCTTCTGTTGACATCTTTGTGAGAGATTTGCACAACCTGTTGATGAGTAAGAGACGAAGTTCACTCAACAGAGTATGATTGAAGTGTCTTAGGACTGGCCCACTTTTTTTGGACGTCAATATTCCCACCATTGCTAAATCAGAAGTTATGCTGACACAAAATCTATGCAAAAGCTGAAGTTAGCTTAATTTCTGCTGTAGCTTTATGTTGTTGTGTGGTGGCTTTGGTATAACCCTTATGGGCCACCGCACATGTGAACTGGGATTTGATTCAGAGCCTTCTTATGAGAGAGTAGTGTATCTACAGAGCAACAATAGTGCTTCAATATGGAAATAATAAGGCTATAAAGACAACTTCTGCCTTATGTTTCTCAGTGATGCAAATGTATTTGAAACTTTTTTCTTTAAAGCCTAATAAGTTGTTTGGCTTTTTAAGGAAAAAAATATATAAAAATGTTGTGTCAACAAACTAATCATTCATTTCACAGTAAAGTAATTCTGCCCAGTGGGATGTAAGAAGAACCACAAAGATTAGTACAAAGTCATTATTGTTTCTTTTAATGCCACTTTTGGAAATACTCATGCTAAGACACAATTAAATGGTGCCAGACAGCAGGGAATGGTCAAACAAGGAAACCTCCTCCTCTCTTCCTCTCATAACTCATCAGCATCAAGGTTTTTTCACATTGGCATCAGTCACTGTCTTCCTCATGTGCTTTTTTTCTTCTTAATTAATTCACACAGGAGCCCCGTTTTGTATTGCCACTCATGAAAATATAATTACACCTCAAATGTTTTTATGTTCTGTCACACTGTAACCACAAACCTTAATGTATTTTACCAGAAATGCAAAACAAAGTTGTGCAGAGTGGTGAAGTAAAATGAAAATAGCTACTCAATTTATTGCAAATAGCGATCTGAATAGTCTATTGGACGTTTGTTTTCAGGCCCCTTTTCGCCACAAATAATATCCTTCAGAGTTCACGTAATTTAAGATAAACAAATTAGAGATGGTTATTCACCTTCAAGCAGGACAACACTAAACATACAAGCAGAAAAATGATTTGTATGAAATCACATTCAGTTGTTCAGTCAGTCTAGATCTATGTCAACATAGAATCTGATGCAAGACTTGAAAACTGCACTCCAATCTCCATCTAACCTGTTTTGCAAACAGGAATGTACAGATATTTCTGTCTGAAGATGTCTATAGATAACTGCAGGGAAGAGGTTATGCTAAATCAAAATGCACAGCATCCTTTTCAGATTTCATTTTGTTAAATTGTTCAAAACAAAGTTTCATTTTCCTTCCACTGCACAATTAAACACTACTTGGCATTTTCTCTATCACATAAAACTCCTGGAAAAGGTCAAGGAAAATGACTGTATGTGCAAAATAGCCAAGGAGGATTAATGTAAATATACATTTGTGGAGTTTTTCCACATTAAAATTTCAATAAGCACCCTGCTGCTCTATGTGATCTCAATGCTGTACACAACAGACTTCATTTACTGTAGTTTATGATAAGGAAAAAACATTGCATAATGTTTTTTCCTTCCTCAGTCAGAACAGTGGTTTTCTTTTTTTAGTCTTGATTTCAAGCCCTATGAAAAATAACTGAGCTCTAACAAGAAAGACAGCAAATATATGCAGAACATGGATATATATGGATAAGTTAAACAGTCAGTTTTTTATTACTCTGGAATACCTCATTTATTATAAATTACAGCGGCAAACAGACTACGATCTGTTGGAGAGATAAGGAAGCACGAAGGCCTCTGGAAGCAACATTTTTTATGTCCAGTGGTGCAACTGGTTTGTTTTCATTTGGGTAAAATGAGAGGCTGAATGAATTCCAATTAAATGGAGCTCAAATGTTACCCCAACTTTCCCCTGAACATCCAGGAGCCTTGAGTTGAGATAGAAGAGGAGATACAGACGAGGCATGGAGGTGAGCTGTCTGAAATGGAATTTGTTTAGGTTTGGCAGCAGAACACGGATCACTTATCTACTAAACCAACATGCTCCCTTCTGCTCTGCTGAAGACATGCCTCTTGTTGCACCGCAACAAAGTAACTCCTTGTTTGTCTTTGTAATATGCTGCAGGAGAAATCTTCCCTTTTTCATGTTTTGGGATTTACAGCACTTGCTCCCCGTCTCTCGCTGACAGCAGACAAAATAAACAGATTCTGCGCCTGCTGCCGGCAGATTGTTGCATATGTTATTTTATTTTATTTTCAGGTTTGGAAACAGATAAAAACTAAAAGCGATCAAGTGTCAAGAATATTGAATATTGGAGTACCGTTGGATTGAAAACCTCTTTGAATTTTAAAGTTTAGAAAAATCAAGCATTGAATTAGTTTTTCAGTGTTTATAAAAATCAGATGTTAAGAAATGCAATTTTCGTACAAATTAAGAATTTTTTTTTAAAGGTTTTTTTTATGATACTTGTTACTATTCAATGGTAGCAACAAGAGAAGGCTAAGACAGAGCACACAACAAACAGCTCTGGTACAGGACGGTGTGCCTGCTTAGTCAGGTGCCAAGTGGTAGCCACCAAAACCCACGACCACAGTTAAGCCAACTTCTGTTTTAGCACACATTTCATTAAGCTAACTTCCCATTTTAGGATAGCTTTCATTTTAGCATACATTTCTATAAGCTAACGTTCAGTTTTAGCATAAATTTCTAGCTTCCATTCTAGGGTTATGCTTCCTTTAAGGTATTTATGGTTGCGCTGTGGCTTTTCGATTTCTTGTACCATTCTGAGCCCTTTGTATGTTCTTTCTGCCATATGTAATGAACAAATCCAACTGTTTCCTTAATGGAACCTGCAGTTAGAGCTACAAAGCGAGACTTTTCATATGCCTCGACTTATCAAATTTTCTTCATGATGCCATGCACTCTGACAAGGTTCCCAAGGCATTTGGAGGGGAAACGGGTCGACAGTATCACAGATCCTTCACCTTACCCAACATTTGCCATATGGTGTTTTGCAGTATGTTAGTTGAAAAGCTTAATCTTGCAATTTTAGAAATTAGCAAATATAAGTCAGTTCTTTTTTTGGAGCCATTCCTTGGCTAAAAAATATAGATATGCCTCAGTTAAATTACATGGTTCCTGTTTTGAAGTGTATTAAAGAGAGAAGCAGAAGTCTATGCAATAATTTCTTAATGTTCCTAGAATTTTACTACCATGTTACTATACTACTGCAATAAAAACTGAAGTTATTTCAACTCAAGGCTATTGGTTCAATCAGTAAAACACAATGGGGTGCACTTTTAGAAAAAAATCCTATTAGATATTTTCTTCCGCTCCTATAATAAAATATGGCATGCTTAGACTGATTGTTGCTTTTTCCAATTGTGTCATCAGACAAGCCAGTCACCATGTGTTTGCAACGGCCCCTAGACATTGAAAATAAACCGAGAGTTCCCAGACTAAATTATATGTGAACATTTTTCTGCCAATCTTAAGGCTCTGAAATGAGCCTTGAAAAAGCTTATATTAACATTTCATATAATAATTTACCACAGAGTTCTTTCACTCTCAATAAAATAGCCTCTTTGACAACCAGAAAGCTTTATCTACTGATTTTATTTATTGAAGTGTCGTGAAATCGCACTGTTCTTTTTATTTTTTTTTTTTTGAGTTTCAACACTTTGAGAGTTGCCCCACACATGCTATATTAGAAAAAAAGGAGAATCCTTGCTAAGGTATCAGTCATTCTCTTCAAATGTATGAAACACAACATTATAATTAAACCATTAAACTATTCCCCTCAGGGATTTTCTGTGCTCAGAGAAGAAAGGCTATAACTAAGGTAATTATTACCTTCATTTTTGAGCCATGGAATAACAGCAAATCACTGCATAAATAATTGAATCATCAAATGAAGGAATGCTCAGTTTTTTCCATTAATCCCCCCATGTTTTTTTTTTGTTTTTTTTTTTTTTTTTTTTGGTCTCGTTTCTACATAGTATCACAGAAATACAAGCCGTAGTGATGGCTGGGATCACACATACAGCATGCCAAGAAAATGGCTGATTCATTGTATGCAGGTGGGAGTGAGAACTTCAAAGAGTCCACACATGCAGATCCAAAAAAAGGAAAAAAAAAAAACCTTTCTGCTGCTTGCTGTCAGATGCTTTCCATCTCTCATTGACTGCTTTTGACTAGGGTGTGAAGTGAAGTACGGATTCCCCGACATTTCTTTGCCTCTGCTCGAGCAAGCCGTGAACAAGTGAGGAAACGAACGCAGGTATGAAAGCTCAGAGTTGATGAAGAACAGAGGTGCTCTGGCTTTGATCACCACTGATGTGTGAGGGCCTTAAACTTGTCTCATCTATCAGCAGTTTCAAGCACACGCCCTCCCAGCACGGTGCGCGAGAATGTGTCGGTTATCATGTGTAAAGGTGAGAAATGTCAAGTCCTCCAGAGCGTTGTTATCCTTGTTGAGGGGGTTGCCAAAGAAAGGGGAGCTCTGTGTTCTCCGGTGGGACAGTAATCTTACTTTTACCTCACAAAAAGCCCGAGTTCAACAATTCTGACGTAATCCTCTTTTATAGAAGGAAGCCTGGTGAAAGATCCATGATGGCACTTTTCGTCTTGTTTGATAAAATGTTACATCCAGCAGGCATTTAGCAAAAGGTGAAGACAAAGCAAGACAAAAGTAAACAAGAAATATATAATATTTTAAAATGGTATAAAAAGTGTCTTTTCATAAGTTATGAGTTAACCAAGCCTGAATTTTACTATTTCAGTTTCTCTAATGGAATGAATCGCCTTTGAACAGAAGACTAGCTTTTTGGTTAAATATGAACACCACAGCTAAGAAAATCTAAATGCATTTTACAATAAAAAAAAAAAATTCAAACACCAACTATACCTTAAAATGCATTAACTAATTGTTTCACTATGTTGTTGT